CTGATTCCCTTTTGGGCGCTCTCAGAATCACTCCTCCAGATACTGATTATGACGATCACCGAAGCAGTCAAATCCAGCTCATTAAGACGCTGTTGAATGACCAACAGTAGTGGTCAATAACATCATCGTACAGCAAAATACAGTGAGACAAACTTTGCTGATCGTTACCAAGTCGTGATGGGTCTCGAAACGAAGAGAGACAGAAGCATGAGGTCATCAGTCCACTTCTTTCCGATCTAATTAAGATTAGGGGTTCACGGAAATTTTGTTTAATTGAGGATTTGAAGGAGTTCGATGGGTTCACCGCCACACATTCAGCAGTACCGTGTTGAACGTTGGGCAGAACATTTCAAGGTGCAGTTCAGCTGGTTTCCATTGACATCAAAGTTACTTACTCCCAGTTCAACTGGGGGACTACGGCCATTGACGACGGGTCCTCTTTTTGAAAAGAAGGTTACTCGAGGGATAAGCTACACCAAAATGCACAACTTCAGTGCCCTGTTGGGTTGTCGTCATCGACTTTTAACACCGGGGTTCATCCTTAGCCTTAAGTGGCCAAAACTCCTAGGGTTCAATATGGGAGAGTGAATGGGTTTCAGCTAAGAGAAGAGATAGGTCCTGCTGTCAAAACCAGTTAAGAATTACTTTGATCAAGATCACCTTAAAGTTCCTCGTGGATTGCCTACCGCACGTGAACCAATTGGCGTTGGAATAAAAGTCGAGGGTGATCAAAACAAGAGATGGCATAGAAGTCTGAAAACTCTAAGCAAATAGCTTAATCACAGAGATCACGCTACGCTTCCTGGATGGCGACCCCACAATCAGCCCAATCGATGGTTATAGACATTAGGCGATAAGTCGGAGTTTGTTTCGCGTTGGAGCCCGTTCAAGTGCTTCATCACTTTGGTTTCACTACGTTCTACATCTCTGACACTAATTTTCTCGGCTTTTTGCTTATACCGTTTGCTGACTTATCAAACGAGCAATCGATGAATGACACAAAATAGGTGCACGAAGGCGCAGGTTTAATGGTTTTACAAAACGAAACTGATTTCGTACAGTTTTTTAGTGATAACTCAACGCTCGATATAGTGGCCATTTTTCCAAACGTAATTGTGATACATTTTTTGTACCGCTTATGTGGCGTCGAGCGTTTGCTTCGTCGCTTTAATATTCTATTGTCTTCTTTTTTCCAAAATAGATTGTCTGCAGCGATTCTTGCAGATCCCACTACAGAAGGAGCCACATTTGTGCACGTCGATCCGAATGGAAGTTGGCGTCGTGCACCCGAGGAAAGTGGCGACGTTCAAGATGGAGTATCTCATGTAAAGCCAGAGGCGGGCAAAAACTCAGATACTGCGACTAACGGAGCTGCTCTGCTGTCTCCACCATGTCTAGTGGCGGCTTGCCGATCGTCGGAGAACTCTCCGAATCTTGTTAATGGGGATTCAGAAGCCACGTCCAAGCCACCCACTCTTCTATCACCCGTTAAAACAGCTCCAGTGGAAAATAACCCTGTATCGGCCAATACAGAACATGCACCAGATGTGGAAGTAATTGTTTTGAGTGACGACGACGACGATGATGATGCTGCGGCGGCGGCGGCGGCGGCGGGGCCGGTGGTGATGTCTCACAATGGTGATGCTGCAGATAAATCCGGTGGTTCTCGAGGAGCATTCTCCGATTCATCTCGAAAAGAAACTCCTGTTGGTTCGTCTCAAAATACCCGAGCTGTANNGTATCGGGTACAAACCAAACACGAAATGCGGACGCAATACCTAGGTAAGTAGCCCAAAATACTGTGTCAGTAAATACTGCGTGTTCCATGTGACCTCTCTGAAATGTCAGCGTGATGTGTACCAAGAGATGTCAACCTGATAATCATTAGAAGCTGATGTGAAGGCATAAAATCAGGTAATTTTAGTTATGGATTTGTAATTAGCAAACACACTACGTTTCAGTTTAAACCAGTCTGCTATCATCCCTGGTGACTGTCGAAATAGAGCAATTCATTTTCTGAAATCACTTTCCTTGCACATTTGTATACCGGTTTTAGCTGTTGTCTTTCGGTTGGTCATTTGTTAGAACGGTGATAAATCAGAAAATGATATAAGTAGAAGACTAAGAGTGGTACTAGATTAAGGATACAAAACGCACGGAACCAACAATCGTGAAGAATTTGAATAAATGAACGATCTGGAAAAAAAATTGAAAATCGACTCCCGTATAACGGTTGAACTAAATTCATTTTCATCTGCTTGCCATGCCTGGCAATCGAGTTGACATCTTCAGTGAATATAGAGTACCGGTGTTCCGCTGCTACCCTTTCGTTTACGGATCTCCTTCCCCGCTGATATTTTTCTTTGTTCCCTCTGTTTCCAACCCAGTTCAAATCAGTAAGAAGCAGGAAGGGTGTGTCTTCTATATCGATTGCGTGTTTTCAAGTCTGACAGCGTGCTTAATGAGAATTCGTTAAAGACCCAAAATAGAGGAGAATGACAAGAGCGATGTTCTCTACAAATTAATTGACTAGACTGCCCAAAGACATGACCCACTAACTCACTCACTCAAGAAGATCAGGAAGGACATAAATTTTACTATGAATCAGTGCAAAGTATTCGTCAGGTCCGACCAAAACATGCCTCAGACGGTTTTATTCGATCAACTCAATAAATAGCCACATTT